CCTGTAGTTTAGTGAAATTTCTTCTGTTCTCTCTCATCCATTCATGCTTTTAATGTAGCAGATGTTAGTTGAGCACCTATCGTATGATGTACTTTGTATCAGGTGCTCGTGACATAGAGACGGGTAAGACATGACCTTACCACAAAGAATAGGGCTAGGGGACCCTCGGGGCAGAAGTGAATCACTTATGTGTATAGGTCATGTCACTCAGCAGCAAGAGGAGGGAGCCTCTGGATCAGAGAACCCCCGAGGGCAGCAACAGTTTGGGGTCTTTCATAGCCACGAGGTTTGCCATATCTATGGCTAGCAGATGTTGAGCGCTGTTTCACAGGTATACAAAGCAGGCAGACTCTAAATGGCTAAAAATATGCATAATGGGGCTATATGTAGAGCAAGGGGATATGTAAGAATTTGAGTTAGGCACCTATGGGAGTGAGTTAGGCACCCGCTATGAAATAAGTGAAGAAACAAACAACATGGGAGCCAACCTACAGGGACCATCCTTAACTCATTTATACGACAATATGGTAGGAGAAAAAGGCAGACCAACATATGTTGAAGAAAACAGTGTGGTTGCACCATGAGGACAAGAGAGGATAATTGATAGAACAAGATTCCAGAGCAAGGGAGAAGAAAGCAGTCAAGAGTCGTGGGGGAGGGGTGCAGCCCTGGGAGGACTACATGAAGGCATGGATAGGTCTGAGAGCAGCTGAGCTATCCTGGTGCCTACCGCTGGCCCCTCATACATGTGTTTGTTCAGGTCCTTGGTCCAGGGCCCTTCTGGGGCCTGTATCTTTTTTTTTTTTAATTTTTAATTTTTCATTTTTTTTTTTAATTTTTAATTTTTCATTTTTTTTAAAAGATTTTATTTATTTTTTAGAGAGCGAGCGAGCGAGAAACAGCATGAGAGGGGCGAGGGTCAGAGGGAGAAGCAGGCTCCCCGCTGAGCCGGGAGCCCGATGTGGGACTCGATCCCAGGACCCTGAGATCATGACCTGAGCCGAAGGCAGACGCTTAACCATCTGAGCCACCCAGGCGCCCTGGGGCCTGTATCTTGTCCCAAACAGAAAATCAGTCTTTCTCACTGAGCCAGATTTGTACATAACTTAAGTTCTCAAGTGTGTACATCACTCTAAGTTCTCAAGTTTAATGATATTATTTTTCTACCTTTGAAGTGATGAAGATAAAGAAGCTAGTTCTAAAATTACTGTCTCATCAGAGATACTTACCCTTTACTCCCACCAACAAAGACACAAAAGACAGAGAGAGAGAGAGAGAGGTCAGTACTCTAATTACAATGACTTGTCTCCAACAACTTGAAAACAAGGAGAAATGTCAGCCAGCTGAAACATTAACATTAAAATCAGTACAGATGGGTCAGGTCAGATGGGTCACTAACATTAAAACCAGTACATATATGCAGGTTTGCCTTACATGGAAAAAATGGTTCTCAGACCTTTAAATCTGCCTGTAACCTGAACAGATGCTTAACCTAAAAAGGGAGGTTGGCCAGCCTAAAAGTGTGGAAAAAGCCAAGGTGATTGGTGACAGTGGCCATGGAGCTTTGTGCAGGGGAGGAGCCTTAACCCGTCCCATTGAGATGGATGCTCTTAAACATTCCACTCACCGTTCTTGGGTTCTCCATCCTGGCTGAGATCCAGCCCAGGCCAATTAAATCAGAGTTCTCGAGGGTACGGCCTGGGCATCTGTCTTTTTAAAAGCTCCCCCAAGTGATTATGATGTGCAGCTAGCATTGAGAATCCCTAATCTAGCTAATTCCCCTGGTTGTGATGCCATGCCCAACATTATCTGTGTTCTCGTGGGTCTGCATCAGCCAATTACCTAAACTGGCATTCTGATTCTGTATATTCATCCAGAGCTTAGTTAATGAGAAGACTTCCCTGACCATATACACCCCAATGTCCACAATAGCCAAACTGTGGAAAGAGCCAAGATGCCCTTCAACAGATGAAAGGATAAAGAAGTTGTGGTCCATATATACAATGGAATATTACTCAGCCATCAGAAGGGATGAATACCCAACTTTTACATCAACATGGATGGGACTGGAGGAGATTATGCTAAGTGAAATAAGTCAAGCAGATAAAAACAATTATCACATGGTTTCACTTATTTGTGGAACATAAGGAATAGCATGGAGGACATTAGGAGAAAGAAGGGAAAAATGAAGCGGGGGAAATCGGAGGGGGAGACGAACCATGAGAGACTATGGACTCCAAGAAACAAACCGAGGGTTTTAGAGGGGAGGGGGGTTAGGGTTAAGGAGGACATGTATTGCATGGAGCACTGGGTATTATACGCCAACAATGAATCATGGAACACTACGTCAAAAACTAATGATGTACTATATGGTGACTAACATAACATAATAAATAAAATAAAATAAAAAATGAGAAGCCTTCCCTGAGAACAGGTCCTTCTCTCTCAATGTGGCTGACTAAAATAGGCCAGCAAGACTGAGGACTAGCCCCTGGGCCCTGAGGAATTCACCAAGATAATAAAATGTTACCTCCAAAAAAGTAACCTCTTGGGTGAGGACACCATTGGCGTCCCTTCACTGGCCAAGAAAACTCAAGTCCATCTTGGTTGTTCCTATATTTTACAGAGGTAAAGTAATAACATGAGAAACAAAGTATGGGTCGGCAAAATGGCCAACCACAAATTCTCCAAGAGCTGAGCTCTAAAGGACTGTATCTATTGTCCTTCACTTTTCTTTAGCTCCTGACTATTTATTTCATGGACATGACTGACTGCCTCCTTGGCATCCATTCCCCACATCTTCTTCCTAACAGAACTGCAACTGGGCTCTGCTCTCTACCTCTCCTCCCTTGAGGACATAGGCCTTAGAGGAAATTGACCCCACCCTCAGCTCCTGGGGTGCTCTGATTTGCCTCAGTCTGTTTCCAACCCCAGAGCTCAAGAAAGAGCAAGTGCCCTGATGTCGTCAATGAGACACAGGAGTTGGTTTTCTTTTAAGCTTTCTACTGAAGCATTATACACATACAGAAAAGTGCATGTATCATGTGTATAGCTTGACAGATGTTCACAAACTGCATATGCCTGTGTAACCAGCACCCAGATCAAGAAGCAAAATATCACCCGCAGCCTGAAAGCCCTTTTCTGCCCTCTTCCATTCACTATTCCCTCAAGGGTAACCACTGTCCTGACTTCCAACACTACAGGGTCATTTTGCCTGTTTTATACTTCTTTTTATATAAGTAGAATCAAACAGTATATACTCCACGTCTGGCTTCTTTTACTCACATTATGTGTGTGAGGGACTCATTTTTATTGCATAGAGTTGTAAGTTGCTTACTTTCATTGCTGTATAATATTCCATGATGGAATAAGCCAAATTTATCCATTCTGCTGTTGATGAGTATTTGGTTGGTTTCTGGTTCAGGAGTACAGCAAATTGTGCTGCTATGAACATTTTAGTCCTTGTCTATTGAGGACACATATATGCACTTCTGTAGGGTAAATACCTAAGAAGGATTGCTGGGCTGAAGGGAATATATACATTCAACTTTAGGAGATACAGCCAAATGGCCTTCCACAGTCCCACATGGGACTGGACCGATTTTCCCTCCCATCTGCAGTGTATGAAAGTTCCATGTCCTTGTCAACACATGTCTGTCTTCTTCACTGTTACCATTTTGGTGGAGGTATAGATGAGATTCAAGGAGTTTTGCTGCAGGCTTCAAGTTATCTCTTCTCATTTAGAGGAAGCCAGCCCATTCTCCCCATGGATGTGAATGAGAAGCAATAGCCAAAATGATTACTAGTAGCCAATTGAGGCCAATTGTCATCAAGTTAAAATGAAAGGACTTGATGACATCATTAAGCTGCTGAATCAACAAACAACTCAATCCATTACCTCCCAGCTGCTTTGCTTTCTCTGTTGTCTGTATTGGAAAGCATCCTCCATGTTATTTTCAAAAGCACTTGAGCCTACCACATCCTTGCTTCATTTTTCTGATGGGGAAACTGATCACCAGTGAAATATAACGGTTACCCGAAGGCCTGGGAGTTAGCAAAGGGTAGAGTTCAGACCCAGCCTACTGCTCTGCCCCCCACATCATTGCCAGCACCCCCTTCCTAGCAGGCGGTACCACTGTCATCTCTCAGTTTGTGCACGTGACTGCGAGTCCTTTGATCACATAGCTGCCATTTGTCAATGATGCCAAATTATGTAGCCAGTATGCCAACAGCCATGCCAGTTAACGGAGGGACCAACCATCTTATGCAAGAGGGGATTAGCAGCTGTCTCCTTGCTGCATCCTGTTCCGAGGAAACTGTCAGCCACACGAGGCAAGGCCCTGGTCCTCCAGGGGAAAAAGGACTGGTGCTTTTTAATCATAAATCACTAATGAGGACACGAAGACAGTGAGAAAAGCAGGAGCAAAAATTAGAGTAGCAAATGCATCTTCCAGCTAGGCAGATGCAGGAGCTGTAACTATCAGCTTCCCGACTTGGAAACCCAAGAATCTTTTGCCTAGTTTTGTAAAGGGACAACCCATTGATATAAAAATTCAATGGAGCAATGGAAGGCAGTTCAGTGACCTAAAATATCTCCTCACTATAAACCAGTCTTTGTGATTCAGCCTAACTGCTCTGCCAACACACAATATTGTAAAGCATTCTGCAGCTGACTTGTCCTCATGTCCGTGGGGCAGACAGAACTCATCACTTTCCCCTTCCAACCACGGTAAATTCATGGTCTTCAAGATCCAGATCAACTAGTGGAGTTGCCCCTGGACTCTAGATTCAGATGCTTGCTGCAGGACCAGCAGCCAAACTGCTCATGTCACTCCCCCACACTTAAAACCCTTCAATGCCTTCACATTGGAATTCTAATGAAATTCATACTTCTTGGTCTAGCATTCAAGGCTCTATATGACCTGGCCCTGCCTATTTCTCTGACCATGCTGATCTTCTTTTTATTCCTTGAACATGCAGTAGTTCCCCCCCGCCCTTACCCGTGGTTTTGCCTTCCATGGCCGCTTCAGTTACCTGCAGGCCAGAAGCAAGATAATCCTCCTTCTGATAGGTGGTCAGCAGGTCAAGCGCCATGGTCAGCAGGGAGTCTGCTTGAAGATTCTCTCCCTCTGCCCCTCCCCCTACTTGTGCGTTCATGCATGCACACGTTCTCTCGCTCTCTCAAATAAATAAATAAATAAATCTTTAAAAAAAAAGAAGAAGGGTGAGTACAGTACAGTAAGATATTTTGAGACCACATTCACACAACCTTGATTATATTATTATACTTGTTCTATTTTATTATTCGTTGTTGTCAATCTCTTACTGTGCCTAATTTACAAATTAAATTTTATCATAGGTATGTATAGGAAAAACCATAATATATCTAGGATTCAGTATTATCTGTGGTTTCAGGCATCCCCTGGGGGCCTTAGAACACAATCCCTGCAGCAAAGGAAGACTACTGTACCATGTTTTTATGGCCTCGGGGACTTTGTGATTATACTTCCTCTTCTGGAACTTCCCCCCCCAGCTCGTTGGCTAGTGAGCAAGTCATTCTTCATCCTTAGTCAAATGTCACCTTCTCCAAGAGCCTTCTCTGACCAGTTTCTCTGAAGTAGCACCCCTATCACTCTTTATCATGGCACCTGGTTTATTATCTTCCGAGTGCTCACTGTGACATGTAATCACTTGTTTATTGCCTATAAGCTCCACAACATCAGGGACCCTGTATCTCCAGCCCCTAGAATGGCAGGAGGAACATAGGAGATCTTCAATGACTATTGGTTGGATAAATGGGTGAATGCATAAAGGATGATCCAGTTGTGGATTAACCAGTGGTGTGGCTTTGTTCTCTTCTCTGCTACCTGAAGTAAGACCATTTAGCTATTCACTAGATCCTTTGCCAAAGAAATGTTCCCAAGAAAATAAAATACAGAGAAAAAAAAATAGAGTGGGGAGAGGTTAGGGGGAAAGGAGACTGGAATATACATTAAACATAAGATTTAAAACTATCAAATAAAAATAAAAAAAAAAAAGATTTAAAACTATCTGTGGTTTGTTTTTACCATACTGTCAGGTGTCCTGGGGGGCTGCATGAGGCAGATTGTGAGTCCCATCCAGAGCCACACAATAGGATCTTGGGATTACATATATTTTTAAATGAGCTTTTCCATTTTTTGTGACAAATTTTGTGACCAATATATTGGTCAGCCCCTGGGAAGCCACTGGCCTTTTGAAAAGATCTCATGATAAGTGTGACATACAGTTTTCTGAGCACATATATGACTATTAGGGTACGCTGTATAAAAACGAGTATCCCCACTTCAGAGATAGCTGTGCAATCAACTGCCCATCCTTAAGCACACAGTGAATAGTACATCATCACTAGAATTTTCACCTTCCACAAACCTTCTGGTTCAAGCTCCCCATTTCACAGATGAGGAAGCTTGCAAAGCGAGTTAGCAGATAACTTTCTCAGGGTCACAGAGCTAGTGAGGAAAAAGATCAACCTCGGCCCCAGACTCCAGACTCCAGATTGGGTCCTTGCACGATACTACAACACATCAGCTAAGCCCAGTCATGAGCAAAGGAGCGGGTTTCCCATCAGAACAGCGAAACACAGGAAGGGGCGGGTGCCCTGCTGCGAGAATCTGCAACCCCCACAGCTCTCACCTTGGCTACACGGAGAGGGTGACAGAGATGAACACAGACAAGCCCAAACCAACAACTCGTCGGGGTGCGTGCGGAACCGTGACCTCCCGCAACATCTTCACCCAGGTGCGACTCAGCCCAGAAGCCATCTGCCCCCAACGCTCAGGAGCACCCCAGCCTCAGAGATTTTCACCAAAGCTCAGGGGCCCGAGTACCTCAAAAGAGAGGCCAGGGCCCTCCCTGCCTGACGCTGGAGGGGGAGTAATCCTCTCCCCAAACCAGTACTCAGCAAGGCCTGAGCAAGACCGTGGGGGCGGTAGGCACGCGGGTGGGGGGTAGGAGGGGATGACAGGAAGGGAGGAAGAGAGGGAGGAGCAAAGCAAGGACAAATGCCTGTGAATCCCCTTCTCCGGATTTCAGAATCTCGGCTCAGGTTTCTAGGGAATGGAAAACAGCTCTTCACCCCAGCTTCCCGACCGGCCGCGGCCAGAACCCGCAGACCAGCGCCCTCTCCACCCCTCCCCGGGCTCGACACTAGCCGGGGGTTAGGGGCGACCAAGGGCGGGACCCCCGCCAGGCCGGCAGCGCACCCGAGTCCCGGGGTTGGACGGCGGGGGCGGCCCGAAGCCCCAGGTCTGCGCCCCCTCCCCGCAGCCCGGCCCGCCGGCGCCCGCCCGCCCCTACCTGTAGTAGCGGTCATCTTTGAAAGGCGTGAGGTCCTCCTTCAGCTCGCGGTACGCCTCCTGGAGCCGCTTGCATAGGTGCTTGAGCTCGCTGCAGAGCGGGGGCTCGAAAGCAGGGTACTCGGTGTCCATGCCCGCGCCGCGCCCGCGTTCCCGGCGCCGAGCCCGGCGTCCCCTCCTCCCGCCGCTCCGCCCTTTGTATTGCTTCCTTCGCCCCTCTCTTCCCAGCTCCGGCGGCCGGGGGCTGCCAGCGCACTGGGCGGGACCGAGAAGGAGGAGGAGCAGGCGGCGGGGGAAGTCGGGAGGGGGCGCGGAGGAAGGTGGGGCGGGGCGCGCTCAGGGCGCCGCCGCGAGACGCGGGTAGCCGGGCCTGCCGGGGTGCGGACAGGGTCCGCCCCCGAGCCGTGGGGGCCTAAGCAGCGGAGGGTGCCGCGCTCATCGGCCCCCGCCCAGGGAGAAGGAGCCGGGACGTGGAAATCCAGCACAAGGTCATCCGCCGCCCAGGACAAAAATATGAAGGGCCACCCTCGCTACAGCTCGTATTGGGAAAAGGAAGCAACCGGAGATGACAGGAAAAAAAGGAAAATGGGGCTTGGAGGAGGACTGAACAGGTCAAAAACTGGAGCCAGCTCCCACGTTCAGCACCATGGACAGCCCCAGACTGTTTCTCCCCCCCCCCCCCGCCCTGGGTTCTACTTGGCCTAATGCAAAAACATTTAAAACCAAGCCCATTATGGTTATGTCATAAGAAATATTTTTTAACGATAAAGGAATGTGTCCAAATGAGATGACTCTTCCCACACGTTCTATAACCATGGGAGGAGGGGGGAAGGAGGGAAAGGCAAGGGAGTTTCTCATCCTCTACAAGCTCAACATTTGAATATAAAATTAAAAATCACAAATCAACACGTCTTCCATGGGAAGACTATCTAAAGATGGTGATGGTGTCATCTCTGGCGAGTTTTTACAATAATAAGTGAAGAAACAATTGTTCCTCATGAGATCAGAGTGTTTCCACCTGAGTGCAAGGTTTCCATGCACTGTTGATCTTGTATGCATTGGGGGAAACATTTTACAAACATACATTTGGGGGGCCCCACTTACACTATTGAATATAAATTATAGAATACAGGTCCCAGGAATCTGTATTTTTCAAAGCTCCCCAGGTGAGTCTAATGATCAATCACTTTTACATATTCTCAGAATTCCCATGCTATACTCTAATTTAACCCAGTCTTCCTTGCTCTTTTTTATCTCCATTTTTTTTTTTTTACATTTTTATTTTTAAGCAGTCTCTACTGAGCCAGCCAGGTGCCCCTATCCCCATGTTTTATTTCCTCCTCCTCCTCCTTACATTTTGGAACAAATTTTTTATCTGCTAGCTAAGCTCTCTTGTCAAGTCTTGCAAATAACTCCATAAATTGTGATCATCCTGCACCCTGCACAGTTCAGTTTTACCCTTAATTCGTTAACATGAGTGTTTGTATTTAACAATCTCCAAAGGACAAAGAATGGAGCTCAGAACTGACTCTACCCAAAATACAGTGCAGAGAGGCATGCTAAGAAGAGGAGCTTCAGAAAGCACACGTGCTGATTTGTTTCCTGAAATGAGATAGAGACTGTGAGACCAGCATCTGCCACACTTCAAATATTTTATGATTGGCTACAGAGAGCTTAACACTGGGGAAAACATTAATCAGCCTCAAAGATACACTAGAATGCTTAAAAAAAAAAAAAAAAACCCTCTGGGAAGACTTCCTAACTTCTCCAGCCTGAGCCTTTTTTCCCTTTGAACCACAATAGCTCCTAGAGGACAATACAAGTTTTCCTGCTCCAAAATTGTGCGATACTAATCTATTTTGTGATCTCTTTCACCACAAAGAGCTAGAAATGCTAGATAAAATATCCCATGTCCACACCTGCATACATATATATTATACTATAATTACTTTTATATAATACATATTATATAAA